ACACACACACACACACACATAAACACACACACACACACACACATAAACACATAAACACACACACACACACACAATCAAACAAACAAACAAACACACAAACACCTCACACCTCTCCCCTGCATACACTGATATGAACTTTGGCTTTTTGCGTCTTCACAGACGATCTTTTTTTAAAATTATTTTTCTTTAATTTTTGTAAGTGTTTTACGGCACTCGCAACTGCTTAAGGTCATATGAGCGCGTGGGACACATTAAGATTTTTCAGTTAGTATGATATTCTGAATTTTGCCCGGGTGGCGGCCGAAGCCTACTCTTATCGGTTTTAGACCACCAAGGGATCTTTAACGTGCGCAACTTGCACACGGGCCCTCCGAGATTTTCCGCCCTTGTCCGAGTAGGCTAGGTGTTGATCTTTCCTACCAGAAGATCAAAGGTGTGCCTGAAAGACGGTAGTAAGGAGCCAGGGAGTAGCAGTAGAAAGGCTGCAGAAAGATTCAGGAGCCCAGAGGGGCCAAAGGAGGTGATGATGGGGTGGGGGCAGAAAGAGGAGACGAAAACAGACGAAAGAATATTGCTGGAGAGCAGTAAAAAAAAGGGTGAAAGGAGACAATTTGTAGGAAAAAAAATGTTTCGGTCGCTAACCGGATTCGAACCGGGGACCTTCGAATGCGAGGCCAACACCTTCACCTCTAGGCTACAGGATGATCTTAAAGCAGTACGGGTGGTAGTCATAGGGGAAGTAGACTGTCCAGATACCAATCGCGTCCTTCGGATCTTGACTTGCTTGATATACTCCGAAAAGGAGAAACATCGTCAGTATGTTTTTGGTCAAGGAAGTTTAGTTTTAGTAAATGTTTTACGGCACTTTCAACACCATAAGGTCATATAAGTGCCGAAGATTAGAGATGTCACAAGAGATTGACAAACACAAAAAAGAAGGAGCAAAGAATCAGATAAGGACGGTAGATGTTTGATAGGAAAGAAGAAGCAAACCACACCAGAGCACCCGCCAACCACCCACATATGAACTTTGGCCTTTTGCGTCTTGACAGACGATCTTAAGGCAGTATGGTTGGTAGTCATAGGGGAAGTAGATTGTCCACATACCAATCGCCCTCCTTCAGATCTTGACTTGCTTGCTCTTACTAGCTTTACTTTATCCGTCCTCTTGTACCTGTTGGGCGTCGAGGGGAGAAAGAGCTTCCTGTCTCTAGCAAGTTTGATGGCCTTGCTGGGTGGGATATTAAATGTTCTCAGGGTATCTCCGACTTGCTTGGTATAATCCAAAAAGCAGACACATCGTCAGTATGTTTTTGATCAAGGAAGGTGTAAGGTTATGTCTTACTATTTTACAATCATTATTATTCTGTGCCAGATCTGCGACAGACATCGGCGATCATGGTTCTCCATTCTTTCCTTTGCTCGGAAGCTCTTAAAAAAGCTACGTTTCCGTGATCTTTCCCTGTCACCCACTTGTTCAGGTTCCCCAAGTAGGTTGCTCTGGGTCTACCCCTGCCTCGCTTGCCTTCAATTTTGAGAGTGAGAGGTAGATGTTACAATACAAACATACAATAAAGACAAACAATGGGGGGCTCTCGTGGCCAAGAGGAGCCAAGGGGTAGCATTAGAAAGGCTGCAGAAAGAGTTTGGAGCCTCTCAGTCAATAGGACCCGGCTTCGAATCCGGAAAACGACAGAAAATTTTCTTCTCAACAAAAATTGTCTCCTTTCGCCTCCTTTCCTGCTCTCTAACAATGTTCTGTCGTCTGCTTTCGTCTCCACACTCTGCCCCCCTCCCTCAAACCACCTGAGCTCCTTTGCCCCCTACTCTGGGCCCCTGACTCTTTCTGCAGCCTTTCTACTGCCACTCCTCAGCCACACCCCTGATCTTCTGGTAGGAAAGATCTATACCTAGCCTTCTCGGACAAGGGCGAAAAATTTCAGAGGTCCTATGTGCAAGTTGTGCATGCTAAAGATCTCTTGGTGGTCACAAATCGACAAGAGTAGGCTTCAGCCTATTTCTTTTTCTGTTTTCTATGACCATAATAATATTGAACTTCCTAGTGTAACACCAACGATTTTTTTTTTTTTGCGTGTGTGTACCATTGTAATGAACGGTTGTGCACGGTGCAAATTAGTCGAAGTCGAAACATTGTGTAGATCGTTTGCAGTGACACAATTCATCTACAACCCCACCCCCACCCCCCACCCCTCTTCCCGAGAAGTTCACAACACATTAAAAATTTTCTACTCCCACAAAATCGCAACACGGACACATGCCTATAAAATACACCACTTTAGAATCTATCATATAATACGTCTGCCTTATTTTATTATTGCACCCCTCAATCCACTTAATCATAATATTTTTTATCCTCTTTCAGCAACTCCAAAAGGAAAAGACTGTGAGTAGACCAACAACCAAAAAACATACAAAAAAATGTTCCCTTTTCTTTCTCTTCATTTAGCAGACATTTGCTTTTGGTGGTATCTTCAACTTTGGATATTTCAGCCTCAGTTCTTCTTCTTCTTCTTCTTCTTCTTCTTCTTCTTCTTCTTCTTCTTCTTCTTCTTCTTCTTCTTCTTCTTCTTCTTCTTCTTCTTCTTCTTCTTCT